GTTGTCGCTTGCTCGCCACCGTCGATTCGATGCTCGCCGTTGTGTGTCGCTGCTTACAGTCGAGAGAGAGAGACAGAGAGAGAGTCGTAAGAAGATAAGGGGATTTTTTATAGGGTTTTTGGTTCAAAAGATTAGGGATTTTTGAGATTGGGGATTTTTGGTTGAAGGGAGGAAAAACGAGCGCGAAGGGAAAAAAAAAAAGCTAAGCGCTCAGATTCTGGTTTTTTTTTTTTCGCGACGTCAAGTTTCATCATCACAAATGAAAATTTAAACAATAAAACGATGGTCACGGGCTCGGGCCATTATTACATCTCTAACCGCACCGTTGTCGCTTGCTCGCCACCGTCGATTCGATGCTCGCCGTTGTCTGTCGCTGCTTACAGTCGAGAGAGAGAGACAGAGAGAGAGAGTCGTAAGAAGATATGGGGATTTTTTTATAGGGTTTTTGGTTCAAAAGATTAGGGATTTTTGAGATTGGGGATTTTTGGTTGAAGGGAGGAAAAACGAGCGCGAAGGGAAAAAAAAAAGCTAAGCGCTCAAATTCTGGTTTTTTTTTTTTTCGCGACGTCAAGTTTCATCATCACAAATGAAAATTTAAACAATAAAACGATGTCGTTTAACTAATTTTTTTTTTATTTGCGATGGAAGGATTACCGTCACCAAAAACCTTTATTTGCAACGGGGAGAGGTTGCCATCGCAAAAAAACTAGTTTTTTGCCAAAAACCTTTGTGTCTATTTTGCTACGCAATAAGAGTTATGGAGAGAGAGAAATAGAAGAAAAAAAAAAGAGAAACAAGAGATGATCAGCGAGAGAAAGACAAATAGAGAGAGAAAGAAAAAAAAAAGAGATGAACAAGAAAGATACAAAGAGAGAGACATAGAAAGAGGGAGAAGAGAGATGAACGAAAGAGACAAAGAGAGAAATGAGAGAAATAAAGAAGAAAAATAGAGGAAAGATGAGTGAAAGAGAGAGAGAAAGAGAGAGAGAGAGAGAAGATAGTTGAGCGAGAGACACAGAGAGACCCATTTCATTTTTTGACTTTTTCCTCTTTCAACAACAATAGGCTAAGAGAAAGAGATGAGTGTGATTGAGAGAAATGAGCGATTAAGAGAGAAGAGAGATGGGTAAGAGAGAGAGAGAAACAAGAGATGGGCGAGAGACAGACAAAAAGAGAGAGAAATAAAGCAAAAAGAGATGAATGAGAGAGATATAGAGAGAGACATAGAGAGAGAGAGAAAGAAAGAAAGAGAAAAAAGATGAGCCAGAGAGAAGAGTAATGAGTGAGAGCGAGAGAAAGAGAAATGAGATATAGAGAGAGAGAAGAGAGATGAGCGAGAGACATAAAGAGAGAGAGACCCATTTCATTTTTTTGACTTTTTCCTCTTTCGACAACAATGAGCTAAGAGAAAGAGATGAGTGATTAAGAGAAATGAGAGATGAGCGATTGAAAGAGAAGAGAGATGAGAGAGAGAGAGAGAGAGAAAGGATCGACAAATCGAGAGGGAGATCGGTAAATTGAGAAGAGTGGAGAGAGAGAGTGAGCAACACGAACAAAATAGGGGAGAGAGAGAAAGAGAAAGACAGACAGACAGACAAAGAGTGATGAGTGAGAGAGACAGAGAGAGAGGGAAAGAAAAAGAGACAGAGAGATGAGCGAGAGAGAGAGAGAGAGACAAAGAGACGAGAAGATGAAAAAATGGGTGAAAAGAGAAATATTATATCAAAACAGTATCGTTTTTTCTATTTTTTTAAAATTTTTGTTTACGACGGAACCTATTACCGTCGCAAAAAACTCTTTTATTTGCAACTGCAGTTCATACTGTCGCAAAAATAGCTTTATTTGTGACAGCAGGGGTTATCGTCGCAAAAAACCTGTATTATTTCGACTGCAGTTGTTGCCGTCGCAAAACTTGTGTTTCTTGTGACAGGAAGTGGTGTCGTTGCGGAAACCTGATTTATTGGCGATGGCAAGTGGTGTCGTCGCAAAAACTCACTTTTTGGTAAGTGGTGCTGTCGCAAATGCTTCTGTGTTATATGTCCCATTTTCTTGTAGTGAATGCTTATGCACAAAAAACAAAATAACAAATAAAAAAGTAAAAATATAAACTAATTGCATGATTATTCAAACTGGACTGAATGCATGATTGCTACATGATTACATGGTCCTAAACATATTGTACTAAGAAAAACAAATAAAACATGTGAGAAGCTGTGAAAAAATTGATAAACAAAGAGACTACATGATGAGATGATGAATGGAGACCTTAGCAAGGATTGATTACTAAAAATAAGTAAAGAAAAGGTACTTAAATAATAAAAAGATAAGAGGTTACCTGTTGTTTTGAAGAAAATTCAAATTACAAGCCTCCCTCAAGTAAGGGTTTCTGATTATAGTTTAAGTCCTTCAAGCCTTAATGGATTTTCAAAAGTTAGAAATTGTTATGAGGGTGGGAATTTCGGAGCTAAGACAATAGGGGAAAGAAGAGGGTGTTTTTGCTCTCAAATTCACAAGTTGGCTCTTCATTTTCTAACCCTTTGAAAAGGAGGGAGAAAGGTCCCTTTGTAGACACCCCATTTTTGACCGTCTGGCAAAGCAGTCCATGTTTGGCACTTCTTTCAAAAATCAGTTTTCCTAAAACGATTTGCCGGATTTGGACTCTTTGGTTCAGATTTAGAACCGTGACTGCGAAAGTCGAGTCCGAGCTGTAGCGAGGTCCCCCCGCGGGCTTGTTACACCCTTTTATAGGCAAAATGGAAGGTTTTGGAGCCCCTCTAAGGTTCCATCGCTTCGTTTTGCTGCCTCCCTCTAACATTGCACCAAGATTGTGTTACCAAAAATGGCTCTGCCATGCGTGGATGTGCGTATGCACAACCAATGTGCGCACGCACAACTTGCCTTGGTACACATGTCATCTATGCATGCACATGTATGGAGTCCCATGCCCTTAGCTTGCTTGTTGCTTAAGCAAGTCCGAATTGCCTTCCGATCAATGTTTTTAATAAATTTGGCCACTAATTTTGGAAAATGTTCACAAACGGGCTTCCCTCTCTTTCTCAAGGTTAAAAAGTTGGTTTTTGGCTAAAAACGGGTCCAGTAGTAAAGTGGCCATTTTCGTAAAAAATTAATTTTTGGCCAAAACAGGTTTATACAGCAATTCCAAACAACCTCAAACATTCTAAACATAAAGTAATTACCATTTCATCATCGGGAGGCTAGCAAGCTCCCGAAGTCTTACGACCAGTCAAAATGAGATGTCTATAGTTGCCCTCTTAGACAGAACTCTAGCAATCATGAAGTGATGTGGAGTGAATATCAAAGATCCGAGGCCATCCCAGTTGACATGACCCTAAAGCTTAAAGTAGTGTCAAACACAAGTGATCGAACCCGTAAATTGCCTACATATCTTTGATTGCAAGGAATCAGATCAGTATAGTTCGGAGGCGATTATGCAACAGTTCATATGTGAGTGAGCGTGTGTAATAAGCACTCAACATTCATCCAAGCATGCAATCTTTCTAAAAAGAGAGAGGATCAAGCTACCTACCATACTCACTTTGCCGTGCCAAAGCTTATGCTGAGTTCCTTTCCATTCCATTTCAAGTTTGCTAAATGTTTCAATCCTGCGAATTTTTCAAAACCATTCCTAAGTAATAATACACACCGCAATGTGGTTAGCATGATGCCAATATGATGCCAAAGTGTGTCATTTCTTTATGTGCAAGGTTTATGCAATTCCTTTTTTATTATGTTCCATTCCACTATTGCTCCTTACAAGATAGGGGTTTATTAATTTCCATTCCATCATCGCGTCTTACAAGGTAGGGGCTTATTAATTTCCATTCCATCCTCGCACCTTACGAGGTAATGGTTTATTAATTTTCATTCCATTCTATTCTATCCTTACACCTTACGAGGTGGGGGTTTATTGATTTCCATTTCGTTCTGTTCTATCGCGCCTTACGACGTGGGGGTTTATTAATTTCAGGTTAAGTCCCAAGTGGTTCCAAGTGCTTTTCCAAAATTTTCTAAGTGGTTTCAAGTGATTCAAATATGAAAATTTGTTGCAATTATTGTTTTCATGCTCTTAGTTGAATGAATGTGCTCCGTATTACTTGATCAAGCTTTAGCTTATCATATATGTGTATTTGTGATTATAATTCTTTAAATTTACGTCATGAAATGTCTATATTGGTGTAGTATTTGTTATTTTAATAGTTTATTCTAACCCAACATAACATACTTAACTCAATGTGAAACTAAAAAGGGTGGTGTTGGGATTTCGCTTGCTAAAGTAATTTTTATGAAATAATGATAAGTTGATGTTGAATATTGATTGGTGGAATGTGTTCCTTATTCGAGGATTAATTCTTACGCAAGCGGTTGTTTCGAAACTCTTGAATAGATTGGTTGTATTCGGACCCTAGGTAATTATTGATTTTGGTGGTATAAGGTTTGGGAGGTTTTGGGAGTTTACTCATGTTTTATCGTCTCTTTTGAGGTCCTTGGTTAGCACTACGTGATAAGTAACTATTGTAGGCATCCGGGGTAAGGTTTGCAAAGCAGAAAAAGAGGGGGTACCGAATAATCTGAGTCCAATTATTGTGATTGGGAAGATAAAATCTCTTTAGAGGATTTCTAGTTACTAACATCTAACATTGTAATTTCTTTAACTATTGACTTGGTTGTCATGCTTCATTGTTTATTTTATTTGTGATTGTGTACTGGATTGGGAAAAAGTGATGAAATATGTCTGAGTTTACTGGGCATTCCAAGCTCATGACGTTTCATGCCAGGTGTTGAAGAATCTTATCCGAACGACAGTGTCGCAGAAACTTTCGAGGACGTTTGTGTCACAACCCAAACCCGCCCCTATGGGTTTAGCATCGTAACCGGCCAGTAATCCTAGGATTACCGAAGGCCTCTGAGACAGATTAACATAATATTAGGGGCTAGCATAAGCAAATAACAATATACAACGTCCATTGAGCTGTGCAAACTTATATGAGACAGAAAAATTTTAAACTTTTTATGTACACATATACATATTAACTTTAAGTCGTCATATAAACACAGATTAGACAAAAAGGAACTTAACCCTATTTACAAAATACACAAGACTTGTTCAACTAAACACGAAAATAAAACTTAAACTTTAGATCACATAGCAATAATCACTTGACATATCCGAAACCTCCACGGGAGGCACATAGGTTGGCTGACAAAACTGGTTCTAGGCAGAAGCCTCTAAGCCTGGTCACGCGCCTGATCACCTACATACATAAATAATACAGTGAGCTAAAGCCCAGTGAATAATAACAAAGTAAAGGGTTTTTATGAATGATGTCTAGCACAAGTTAGGATTCAGTATTTAAATCAGAACATATTCAGACTTCAAAACAGACATAGATTTAGATACATACTCATGTTCATATTCAGATTTTGCATAAGATCATACGTGGTACATCCATTAGCTATTAGATCAGATTGGTCCAGAGACCTACATACATAGTTGGTACCAACGACCATAAAGGTCCATATCTTGCGCGCAAGTAGCCATGGTATTGTTACCCCCAGGCAAGGGCCACGTGCAGATTGGCCACAATATTGTTACCCCCGGGCGAGGGCCATGTGAACTAAGGGTGCCACAAATACATTTCAGAAAATTGGACATTCGTTCATAATTCGTAAGATAGCATTTCAGAAAAACAGATCATATCATACCAGTTGGAAAATACTTAAGTTAAAACATAACTAGTTATTACTCACAGATGGCTGCAGAAGCAAATAAGACAGATTGGACATATTAGAAAAATCAAGCAAACAATGGCGCGTGACCTACACAAGCACATAACATATACACATTGAGATACAATATTACTCCATTGATCAAACTTGACTTTCCTAGTCTTTTTCCATCTAAATAGTCCAAAGTTCTACTACGCTTAATCTTTCTCATTCAAATAAACCGGGTTCTTATTTCACATATTCTTTCTTTACTAAGCCCTTCTTTTCCCAATAGACTAATCTTTTACTTGGCTTTTTAAACAACTACCACTAGATCAATGATTCATCCTTCAACTAACTAATCTATGTTGATTGGTAGCTTATTAATCTATATTGAGTCATAAATCATGTCCAGAATGCCTTGGAAAAAGATGAGAATAAAAATGTGAACTAAATGCAATTTTCCAAAATATGCTGAAAATGGGCCTTCGCTCGAGCGCCACTTTGGTCGCTTGAGCGGACTGTTAAATTTGAAAAACTACTGAGAGCTTGATTTTCACGCTCGAGCGAGACTTTCCTCGCTCGAGCGGACAACACAAATTCTGAAATTTCTAAAATTGTAATTGAAGTTCATATTTGATATTCAAAACCTCAAAACATGTATTTTTAGTACACAAAAATGGAAAACCATTGTATGATTTAGTAAACACTTCCAATTAGAAAACATTCAACCAAAATCATGTTCCAATTGCCCAAATTTAATTTTAATTCATCTTATTAATATCAACCCACAATTCTAAGATACAAATTAGGCTTTCCAATTCTTAAAATTGCACGATGCATGTGTGATTGAACTCAATTTCATACAAGACAAATAAATTCAGACCCAAAAGGGTTATTTTCAAATTAACTTCTAAAATTTTGAATCTACTTCAATTTCTACACCATTTTACTAATTCCTTTTAATGTACATGAAATTGAAGTTATATGACCCTTAGGAAATATTTGCATGCATGACATTAAGATTAAAACTAATTAATTTTTTCTACATTCAAAATTAACTCAATGTTTAATTTTCCATAAACTTAATTTTTCTTATAAAATTTCTTCCATCTTCTCTTCAAAACATGAAATTGTTTACCTTAAGTTCCTCAAAATCCAAAATGCATGTATAAAACACTTACCAAATCCAACCAATTTTACATCATCAAGCTCAATTTATAATTTGACTTCTTAATTTATATCTTAATTTAATCTCAAACTCATAAACTTTAAAATATGAATTAAATTCTAAAATCTTGAAAACTTACCATGCATGTAATGGAAAACTTCAAATATGTGAAGGATGAAGAAAATCAAATTCAAATATTTAATCTCAACATCAATTGCTTAATAATTACCTTCTAATTTATTTTCCATAAACTTGATTTTTACATGCAAACCCAAATCTTAACAATTCATAATATCTACAAAGCTTTATTTTTAATTCCTTCAAAATTCATGATGTATGTATCAATCTAGTCTAAATTCCTTTCCATAGCTTTCAAATTATAAGATTGAACTTCAACATAACTCAATCCTAGAATGCATGTAACATATAATTTCAAAATCCAACATATTCTTGTATGTATGTAAGGAATCACCTTCTTCTTAACATGCTCAAGCAAAATACATGTAATGGCCCATAAATCCAACTCTATACCATAGGATCTTCAAGTTTTAAGAGACAAATCCGTACCTAGAGTCTTCATAGACGTTTAATCTTGCATAATTTTGACAAATCCAAGCCAAACTTGAGTTTCTCCTTCCTTTTCTTCACTTTTCCCTTGGTTTTCCTTCAAATTTCCAGCAAAGATTTAAGGAGTTAAACTCTCCCTCATTCATGGTTCTCTCTTTCTCACCCACGGTTGTCTCTCTCTTTCTCACGGTTTTGCACCAACAGATTAATTACATTGCATGCAAAAACAATGAAGCTCTCTCTCTCTTTGGTTCTCTCTCTTCTCTTTTCTATATGTTTGAGTCTAACTTCCCAGCACATGTATTACACATACACAACTTCTTTTGAGGCACCACACTACACACGTGCACAGATCCAATGCTGCCAGCGCAACAACAATATACACATATCTGGTTTCTCTGCACACCCACACTGGTTTCTCTGCACACCCACACACACCCACAATTCTAGATCCTTCTTAACTTGATTTATGATTAAGATTAGATTAATTAAATAACACATAGTCTTTATAAATCTTATTTAACATGCAAATAATTAATCATAACAAATCACAATTCCCATAATTTAATTAGTCTAATTTGACTTCCATTAAGGCCCAATTAATTTTATTTAAATTTATCAATCCGAATCGGATTTTTAGTCAGACTCCCAAAAGGCTCCAAATATTAAATTAAATTTATTATCATTATCAATTTTGATTTCCCAAATCATTAGGCCTTCAATTTCTGATCAGACTCAAATTTCCAACAGTAAATTACATATTCAAATTGGACGTTCTATAAATAACTTTAATTCGCAATAATCACAATTCTCAATCCTCATAATCTAATTAACTTAATGAACCCCAATTCGGACCCAATTTTATTGAATCTCAATTTATAAATCTGAATCGAATAGTTAATTAAACTTCCACACGGTCTGATATTCGAAATTAAAATAGCTTAATTCACTAATTATACTCTCTTGAGCCATTTAGGCATTCTATTTCTAATCCCAAAATAAATCCTCAATAGAATCATGTATGAGTCAATCTCTATAATTTTCGTAAATCCCAAATTAACTATAATGCTTGGCAATTAAATTTCAAATCCTCTTAATTAATCAAGTACTAATCATTATACGTAATGGCGTCGTTACAGTTTGGCTATCTTAGAAGAAATAGAACTTATTTTTGTTTTAAGTCCATTTCATAATCATGTTTTGGGACGTAATATTGATAAACTTACTTGTTTTGTAAAGACTTAACTCCTGTAACTTTTGCTTTTGTTATATATATAAATTTCATCTTGTGTAAACCTATCCTTCATTTTTGTAGCACTTTGAATCTTAATGTGAGGCTAGAAACATTGAAAAACTTATTTTCGAGGGTTCGATTTAGATACAAGAACGACCCAAAACGGAGTCCGGATGAGAGAGTTATGCCTGTTCGAAGTTTGCGAATCTAAGATATATGTATAGTTTGCTCGAGCGCAAGTTTCACTACTTGAGCAGTCCATAGACCCTTCTAACTTTGTCTAAGATACTATAAGCCTTGATTCATCGCTCGAGCACACTTTTTACTGCTTGAGCGGTCTATTCGAAAAAGTATAGATACTGAGAATTTTCATTCACCGCTTGAGTTTAGCTTTGACCACTCGAGCGGTCTGTTCAAAATCAATCATTTAAAAGTCACTTTTAGCTTATTTTTTCTAACTTTTTCAAATCTTTTCTCTCTCATCTCTCTTTTTCCTCCATTTTGAGCTTCCAAGCTCTTTAACCCATGGTGTCATCTATTTCTAAACATCTTTAACTCCTAATTCTATATACTGAAACATAGAGCATGGCAAGGGCTTCCTCTTGATCTAATCGGATCATCTTTTCATCGTCGGTGGATTTTCAAGTTTTTTTTTCTCTCTTCAAGTGGTAGGGATTTCTTTGCTTCTCCTCAATACTTTCATATAGATAGATGTGTGGTATCTTTCTATTATTTTGAGCTTCCAAGCTCTTTAACCCATGGTGTCATCTATTTCTAAACATCTTTAACTCCTAATTCTATATACTGAAACATAGAGCATGGCAAGGGCTTCCTCTTGATCTAATCGGATCATCTTTTCATCGTCGGACGCTACCTAAGTTTTTTTTTCTCTCTTCAAGTGGTAGGGATTTCTTTGCTTCTCCTCAATACTTTCATATAGACAGATGTGTGGTATCTTTCTATTGTATAAAACATCACATTTAAAAGAGATTTTTGACAAGCATGTAAAGGAAAGTTAGGGTTTTGTAATAAAGAAGTTAAACTTATGATTTGTAGTCGATTATGGAAGTTTTAAGCCATTAGAACAAGTCTATGTGATTTATAGCAAAAAACCCTAATTTCTAATTATGAAATAATGTTGAGAAATGAAATAAGTTAAATATTTAATTATTGTAGAGTTATGTTAACTTTGTGAGTAGAAGTTTTGGTTTATAAATAACATAGAAATGATCATTGTGGAGTTAGTCTATATCATGGGAGTTGGCAATGTGAAGTTGGTGAGGTAAATTATGAAACATGTATGATATTATGTTTATTGATTTAATTCTCGTAAAGATTGTTGATATTGGAGTATAGAGATCATATTGTTCATTGACGAGGACTTATGTCATTAAATATGTAGAAGTTTTGCCCTTGGTCATTGGTGGAGGACAGTATTGATTGTTGTAGAATAGGTTGTATGTGTAATGTGATGTTGATTTAACTCTATAAATTGAAATGATGAAGTATATGAAGAATTAATGGATTAAAGTTCCAAAAGAGGGTCCGTTTTCTTCTAGCTTGTGACACATAAAGTGTGGCGCATTGATGAAGGTTCTACTTTCCTTCTGGTTTGCAGCCAGTAAAGCGTGTGGATTGTTGAGCTATATGGAGGTTCCGTTTTCCTTCCGATTAGGCACCAGTAAAGTGTGGTGCTTTGAGATAGGTTCCAAATTTCATTCTGAATTAGCGCTCTTCAAATTGTGTTGGAATGGCTTGATGAAGCCGATGGTTATTGTGTAGTGCATGGTGTTTAGTTATGGTTTGTGTAGATATGTATGACTTGGTGGTTTTGTGTTAAAAATTTTAAGTGTGTAATCGGGATAATTTTTATAATAAATGGAATATTGTTGTTTGTCTATATGATGGATGTTGGTATGTACAATCGGGGTTATGTGGATTATAGTAGGTTGAGAGGTGATAGTAAAATTATTGTTTTTAGGATAAAAGATTAGAAAGAGTGTGGGTTGATTGGTTTACAAAACCTTTTCTAAAGTAAAAAAGACTCAAAGCATTTTTTTTGGATTGCTAATGATAAATGAAAAGATACTAAATGAGTTTTCCCTAAAAGATTGAAGTGGGATTTTGATAAGTAAGTATATGTTTATGTATGTTTTATATTGGATATAAAAGAGCATATTACTTATCTATGTATCACCTGATAGTACTCATGATCGCATGTATCTATTGATCCTTGTTGAGAATCATTGTAGATCCCTACTAGACCTTTGTGTTCATCCCATGTTGATTGACCATTTTTTAGGTATAGAGTTGATTGTGCCTTCTGATGAACTAGACGTTAATTTATTGAGGACTATTCCTTTTAGATTTGTGGGTGAAGGATTAATTTGCTGTAGAAATGATATAGTTCTTGTATTGTAATTGTTTGTTTCATAATAGTTGATGTAAGCCTAAGGGCATTGTTTGTAATTCGTTATGATGTAAGCATCATCATTTGTATTATACGAGATAGAACACTTTTTATCTGTTTGTTTGTATTCTTATTTCCACACTTGTGTTATGTAATTTGACTTAAATAAAAAAATTGGTAATATATCCGAGTAAATAAAAATTGGGGTGTTACAATTTTCTTGTCAACTTGTGTAGTCCTTGTGTTAATACCTTGTTAAAATCTATAAAAAAGGTAGCTTTGTTATCTAAAGAGATTGGACTTAGAAGGGAGGCCATTTTGACTCCCTCGATCTTTCTTGGAATCTTACTTGGTTATTGATCAAATGACTCATTAATGACGTTTTCTAGATAACTCTTAAAATAGAATTTGGGGGCGTCACAATCTGTCTCCCCAAGAAGTTTAAAATGCCACACATAGATAGATTTGACGGCTTGAGAGATCCTATGATACGTGTCCGACTTTTTACCTACATTTTGAGGCCTATGGGACTCACTCGTCAACAAATTATGTCCTTGTTTGGCAAACCTTGTCTGGAGTGGCAGCCAACTGGTATGTTAAGCTTGTCAACGAAATCAAGTAGAGGTGGGATGAACTAGCCGAAGCATTTGTTGTCCAATACTCTTACAACACTTAGCTAAGTGACCTTGAGGGAACTCAAAACCACCAAGCAAGAACCTAATGAAAGTTTCAGTGACTTTGTCTCAAAATGGAGAGCTAAGGTAGCCAGAATGACTAACCAGCCTAATGAGAAGGACCAAGTGAGGACCATTGTGAAGAACTAGCATCTACTTCTGCTAGGCATCATGTTGCCTTTACCATGTTCAGCTTCCGGGAAATGTTTGACACTAGAAACATCTAACGCAAAATCAATTGGTATTAGGTGGAGAGAACCTTAAATTATACTCTCTCCATCCCAAAATATTATTCTCTTATTCTATTTTTCATTGTCCTAAAATATTAGTCCATTTTCAAAAATTCGTAATCATCACCGGCACAAATGATGATGACTCTCACAACGATGATGACTCTTTACTAGTAGCGACGACTACAGCCCCTCTTTCTCTCTCTCGATCTGGAGCTTCCAGATCCAGATCTGAGATAGAAGAGTGAGAGAACCTGAGAGATGATGAACAAAACTCTGCCATGAAAGCTATTTTCCTTCCTTTACAAATTTATGAACATAAATTGTCTTTTGTTATTTACATATTGTCCTTCCTCTATAAATGAATTCCCCAAGTAGATCTGCCATGAAAGATACTTCTTCAAAGGGTATCCACTTCGTTACACCTCATCACTTCACTTTCTTTCTCATCTAGTTTATACACCTATCTATACCCTATATTTATACCTATACATATACATTTTCATGTGTGTATATATGTGTGTGTTTTTGTGTAGTGAGAGAAACTAGAGAGAGAAAATGATAATATAGAGATAGGAGATGATGATAAATAGCACTATAGGTTGTCATCGGTGGCAAGATGTTTGACTTTTGAGATAGGAACTATATTATTATATCTATATTATATTTGAAAACATTGATTTTGGTTTAAATATTTTTATTTTTTTTGAGAGGGTTGTTTCTTGTTCTGATGGAGTTCTATGACTATTTGTTTAAAAAAATTTTTTTTATATCTCAGATTTGAATTTTTTTGTTGTTTTTTTATCTTGGTTGTTGTAGTTCTTATTATATCTGCTTAAATCTGTTTTTGTTTTTGTTATAAAGAAGATGATATTGAATAGATCACAAACACAAATTTGTTTAGAGTAAACAAATAGTTTTTGAATTTAGTCTTGTGTTTTTCAATCAGTGAAAAGATATACAAAAAAATACTATAGTTTTCTCATTTTTATAGATTAAAACTGATCGTGTTCTTCAATTAGTAAACAGATAAAAATATTTATTATTGTTCTTGAAGAGATTTGTAACAAATCTGTTCAAATTTTGAACCAATAGTGACCTGGTGTATTTCAATAACAAAGATTTGAACAGATAAAAAATTAACAAATAGAATTCAGGAAAAAAATTGAATAGATAAGAAAATTTAGACAGATAGATTTAAACAAAAAAGTGAAAAAAATTAAACAGATAATAAAATTTGGACAGATATTTAAACACGTAAGAGGAAAAAATTAAATAGATGGTCAAAAATTTTGAATAGATAGATATAAATTTAAATAAGTAGTCAACGAAAAGTTAACAACTAAAAAAAAGGTTAACAAATAAATGAAAGCGTAAAATTAGAAACAAAATATCCTACAAAATCAACGAAATGACTTCTCACCAAACTATTTCACAAAGGGTGGACATCTTACTAACAAAAAATATCCACTAGACCTAATGTCTTACACTCTTTACCTTGGATTTTTCAACAATTCTCTCTCTTCTAGCCCAAAAATGAAAATGATAGGTAATATTCAAACTTATAACTGTTTTTGTTTATGAAAACATGCAAAATAAAAACAGAGAAAATAATAATACAACCAAATTGGGCATAGTAACTGCACTAGTTTGTGTGCAGGCGCGCAAGCATATGAAGGTGGTGCACTTGCAATTTTACATGCACATATAAAAGTCCAGAGCAGGGTGCTTGCTTACATGAGATTCATGCCTCAGCTCAAATGTCTGAGTTCATATGGTAGGGTGTTTACTTTAATATCATGGGCACATAAAAGGTTATGTAATTGTCACGACCCAAACCCGCCCCTAAAGGTTCGGATCATAACCGGTCAATAATCCCAAATTACTGTTGGAACAAATCTTCTGTGTAAAATAAAATAACTTGAAAATAAATTCAAACAAAATAAATAAATAACATACCGGATTTATTTATCGAACCGAATTAAAATTAAGACCAAGTTGAGTGTGTGACACTCTGTCCTTAAGACAGATTCGCCCCGCTACGGTGCTTACGGTTGAATGGCGTCTATCTCCCAGGATACAATGATCTTCACAAATTTATAAAAGCACTTCAAATAAATTTGTTCGGCGAACCAAACCTTGTGTTCTAAACTCTCTTTTACTTTTTCCTAAACTAGAATGAAGATTAAAATGCAAGATAAAATTTGGACAACACAAAGGAACAAATTATCACTGATTTTCGGATTATCCAGAAGTGCTGAAAAAGATTGTATTTATAGGCAACCAAATTGGTCCGAACAGGTACCACTGTTTAAGTGAAAAGGTGCACACCAAACTTAAACAATGCACTCACTAATTGAATGGTGATTTTTGTCCGTTAGTGGAAAACAATTGTCCATTAGAGCAACTGTTTCAATTTTATTACATAAACTATTTTGAATATATATATATATATATATATTAAACCATTTGAATATATATATATATATATATATAAATTAAACAAATTGAATAGTTTAATAAATAAATAAAAAGGTACAAACTTTTAGGAAACCACTTAGGAATCTAAAAATTAAATTTAGAATTAAATTAAATTCTTACAATGACAAATTTTAGGAAACTACTAAGGAACCCAAAATTTGAATTTAGAATTAAATTAAATTTCCACAATAATTTTTATTGAAAAAATTCAAATGAATTTTATCTAAATAAAAATTAATGTTAAACCCGAAAACGACGTCAACTTCTCATTCACTCATAAATGGTTTTAACGTTCCGTCTTCACCGTGTGACTTGCCACGCAGCAAGGAACACGTCACCTCTTCGGACCCACCCCAAAAAAACGTTTGGGGCCCACACAAATTGGGCTAAAAAATATGCCTATAATAAACCATTTTCCAACAATTACCTGGCCTCAAAGTCAGAATTAACAAAAATATTTAATTAATAATGGGGCCAAAAGTGAAAGCTGAATGATAAAATTTTGTCCAATGAGCTGTGCATATATGGCATATCAAAGACATCTCATTTAGTTAATAACTCACATCCATTCATATAGAAAAGATATTACGAAGCCAAGACCATTCACAAGATCATTATCTTACAAAACTAAAAATTTATTTATAGATATGGCCAAACATGACCAACAAAAGGCAGCAAAAGAAAATCAAAAGACAAAAACCTCGTGCGTGAGACATCCTGGACTGACTCCACAAAAACTCAGTATTCTTTCACAGGTTCACTAGGGCTGGGGTTGGATATTTCGCTGCTCACCTACATACATATAAATATAGAGTGAGCTAACATCCAGTGAATAACATCAGAGTAAAGAGGTTATATGAATGAGTTTTAATGTTAAACAGAATCATTCTCGTAATAGTTTCGTATCACAATGGAATGACATCTGGTCCAATATATGACAGAACGACCTCAGGTCCAATATATGACAACAATATCAGGTCCAACTTATAACAGAACGACCTTGGGTCCAATTCAAATATACAGAACAACCTTAGGTCCATTTCAGATATACAGAACGACCTTGAGTCCATTTCAGATATACTTTCATGCTTGTCAATCACATTTACAGATCCTTTACGAATCAGACAGCTAGAAAGCTCATTCATAACATAGAATCACAAGTTTAGAAAACTCACCACATTGTATCATTTAGAATATAAGATATATTCATGCCACATTAATCACATTTACAGTTATCATGTTGATCCGACAGATAGGAACTCATTCACATTTGCAATTCATGAATTCAGAAAACTTACTACATTGAGACCTTCAGAAAATAGAGTAATAAGAAAATATCATTACTAAATTATTACTCACCTCAAGTAGGTTGATATTCTTCTACAACGTTCAAGCCTATACATTACACATAACCATACACATATTGGAACACATTGCTTAACCGAATTGTTCTTAAACTTATTCAATTCTCTTAGGCTTCATTCTAACTTGTTAATTCATTTAGGATGTTCAATTCATGCCAAAGAATGCTTAGAAAGGCATGTGGACGGAAAAACGAACACAAAACATCTTTTCAAAATATGCTGAAACATCGGCCTTCGCTCAAGCCAACTATTGGTCGCTCGAGCGGTCTTAAAAGTTTGCAAAAGTACTGGAAGGGTATGCGCTTGAGCCAATCATTGGTCGCTCGAGCGGATGCAAAACATACACTCAGTTTGCTCGAGCCAACCATTGGTCGCTCGAGCGGTCTGTAAAGACTACAAAATTGTTGGGAGCTCAACAAGTTCGCTTGAGCCATCATTTGGTCGCTCGACCAGTCTACAAAATTTATGGGTTTTCCAGGATAGAATTTGAGCTCCAAAAATGCATTATATCATGTACAAGCTTGCATGGTTATTCCAAACCCATGAAAATACTTTGATAATTATAAAAACATTTTAAAAAACTCAAATACATAGTTATTCATAAATCATTTGCTCAAAACCTCATCAATTTACCAAAATTAAACTCAAATCTTCATTCATGTAAGATTTACAAACTCTTTTCTCCAAAACTCATGAATTTAACAAATTTGAGCTCAAAAGCTCCATGCATGTAGGAATTTGTAGAACATCAAACTCAAAGATGAATTATGCATGCATATTCAAATTAACTCATAAACTCAACAAAGATGATAGAATTCAACCTTAACATAGCAAAACTCAACATAATCATGCATGCATATAGAGCTACAACACTTTCTTGACATTCTTTAACAAGATACATGCAATTAATCATGTTAATTCCATGAACTCAACTCTAAAATGAATTATCTTCATAAATTGAGTATCAAAACCTTACCTAAAATCTTGAATTAGCCAAATTCTTGCATATCCTAGAGCTCCTCTTCTTAATCTTCAAGAACCAAGCTCTCTCTCTCTCTCTCTCATTCATTTTGTGAACTCAAAATGAAGAGAATAAGCTCAAAATGAGCATAAGGAACACATATATAGCTAGAGTAGCTTAATAAATTAATTAGAATATTAAACTAATTAAACATAATTTAATTTATCAAACTGAATCAATTTTTAATTAAACTTACCAAATTATTCTAAAAATTCTAATTAGTCTATTCATGTAACAAATTTCGGTTTCTGACACTGCCTTCAATTTCGAATTATTACAAAAATCACAACAGACATTTCTACGATGGACAAATATGCATCCAAAACCACATTAATCACTTAATTAGCATTCAAATTCATACTAAGTACTTAAGCACATGCACAATTAAAGAATTAAAAATATAACACGTGACAGAATTGTCACAGCACTTGTACTAAGTATTTTACCTAATAGTGCTCAAGTTACTCTTACAATCCCTTTTCATATATCAAAATTTTATTATTGTCCGTTCCAAATACCAAAATTTCATTTTACTGCACACCATGTTGGCAAGTAAAGAGAGTTTGTAAAATCCGTTAATTTGTATAATTAAATTCAATTACAAATTTAGTAACTGTAGTTATCATTCTCTCTAGAGAAAGTAATAGCAAGTTTGACCATTTAATTGGGCATACCGCCCTTGATAGAGCTAAATATCAAAAAAAGGCTTCATGTAGCAGACTCCACTTGATTAGACAAAGGGACTAGTTTGGTTTGATTTGATTTAGTTTGGATCAGAGGCACAAATCCTTAAACATGAAATCTTAAATGTGGTTAGGTAGAATAGGGTCCAATCCATTTGCAAGTGACAATACTGCTCTTCTTCAAGTTAAGTTACCAAACAGCAAAAATATAAGATCTTTATCCCTGGACAAACAAAAAACTAGGACCCAATGAAATTAACAGTCACATTGATCTCTACTAACTAAAGAGGGTAAAAAGCTATCGGATGGGACAACACATCTCAGTTGCAGTGTTGCTAATCAGCATCACAATTGCACTATGTACAGAAGTGTCTCTTGCAATCCAGCTCTTTTCAGGTTCAACAAATATATTTGGAAATCATTGTTCGCTCAAAGCTGAGCAACCCCAAGACAAGAAAAAAATGTACAGAAATTGCCTTTCGCAGGTATTGCAACTGATTTGGACACGACCTTTATGAAAGGAAGTATCCCGACTCATAGATTCAGGTAGGTTGAGATCCACATTCAATAATTATCACCTGCAAGACATTACCAGGTATTGCAATACTTTCCTTCAAGCTCTATTGCAAAGGAGTACAAGAAAATTGGCTTTAATCCCTTTGGCCGCAATTTCTTTAACTCTTCCAGCCGAGAGCCCTCAGGTTCGATTGTTTTAGCTCAATATGCTTCCCAAGCCTGTAAACAAACACAATACCATCAGCAACAGTTCAGAGAGTATATCATAGTTATGTCAAGGAAGGGGAGAACCAAATTGTGACAAAGAAAGGCCTTGCATTGTCAAGCACATGGAACAAAGCGATGTCACAATCAGGGTTTTGTATTCAATACATTCCACAAATTCATTCCACATTTCAAATTGTAAAAAAAGATAAAAGACTAAATTAGAAAAGTCAAAGGCTCAATCCAATATCATTAGAATTGCAGAGGTGCAACCATAATTAGGAGCAAGTCATCACAGACCACAATCACTACCACTGCCAGACAGACCTTTAAGCCCTCCAATTCTACCCAGTCAACATCATTATGATAGATGAACTACTTCCTGTTTCCAAACCAACCTTTCCCAACTTCAATTCCTATTAGGTCACCACATCAACTTTCCATTTCTTACAGAACTGACTTTACAAATGCCACTTTATCTGGTCCATTTAACCCACAAGCATTCCATGATAGACTTCAACTCCCAATCTCCCTGCATAACTTACTCTGAGATGTCACCTTCCAGCTTCCTCCTCGCTAGGTTTACACTCATTCTTCCAACTCAACTGAACAAGCCTTAATCTCAATCAATTAGGGTCAGTTACAGGCATCCATTTTCCAACATTCACAAATATGGACACAAGCGTGAACATCCTCCTCATTTTTGCCTCCATATCACCTCATGGGGCAACATCTAATGGGGATCCTACCAATATGTTCTTACTCAGGATTATAAAGGCACAAGTTTGGTCTCAATCCACTGTCAAGAGATGAATAAAGAAATCTTTACTCAGATGTAGTGAAAGATAGCAATCTACACCCCACCCTATTAGGACAGGGATGGGATGGGAAATCCATTTCAGTAAGAAGGGAACGCAAGGAACAAACCCAAAAGCAGACATGTTTATATATTTATGTATCAGTCTATGCATGCACGCTCACATTTGTCACAAGAATTAGGAATTCTGAATCACTGCAGTGAAAGGCACACAAAATATACAATCGCCAAAAATAAAGGTATGCTATGGCACTTACACAAGGTCTGATGGAAGCCTGAAACCACCTATACGTACACGCTTTAGTGAATGGATCTGGGTCAAGGAGAAAAGAAGAAGATGAGTCAAACATAACTCAAACAAGAATCTGGAAATGAATAAAAAAAGATTGACACAGCCAAGAATAATCAAGCTTATGAAAGTGCAGTGCTGCCACTAACACAATATACAATTCTATGTATAAGTAATGGTCAAGCTTCATCATATTGAATGATGGTATCACCATACTACTCTATTAAACTAAGAACATTAATACGAGCAAAATTTTACAGGTGCAATAATCCACAGATTTCAATATACACACCTAATTGAAGAAGAATGAAAAAAGGAAGCTTAAATATAATAAATATATGAGTTAGCTTTAGAGGATCAAAGCAACAAGTTTATCACCCGAAACAATTTAAAGAAAAATACTGAATTCTGTTTAAATCACAGTCCCCTTAATTGTATGATTTAGATTTGACCAATTCAGAATATCAGATAATAGTCATGATGAATAAGGTTATATTTACGATTGACCAATTCAGAATATCAAATAATAGTCATGATGAATAAGGTTATATTTACGATAGGAAACTAAATGAATCAAAAAGCTGGAACAAACCTCCAGTCCAGCATTTTTTACAAGTTGCCGAACTTCATGATTTCTCCCCTCATGAACCTGCACAAATTTTCATTAATCAAATGTAAGTTAGCTACCCACCCAAAAAAAAGGAAGTTAGCTTTTTTGTGCTCATGCAGCGCCATGTAGCTGAGAAAGGCTCAAAAGAAAATTAACTAAAAGGATTCTTTTTCTTCTTCTTCTTCTTCTTTGCATGACAGAATATCCAGGTTCATAAATAAAATAAAAAATAACGTCCAAATAGCACACGTGTGTTTGGAAGGAGAAAAATTGGATACACACCAAACCTTTGGCATAGTGCACAAAGTGGTTGTCCTGACACTATCCATAACTTCAAGGTTATTAGGCCAAGGTTTTACCCTTGAGGTTCATAAATAAAATAGTAAAAGAAAAAAATCTAAATGAAAGTTGATGTGTCTTAGCAAAATAAAGGTTGGCAAATCTCAAAGGGGACAAATAAAAATATTAATCATCAGCTAAACCATATCATTCTTCTGTAGCTTTCCATAACCACATGTCAAAGAACTGAGGTTCTAGAATTTGAATAAAAATCCTAATATATATATACATATACAACAATGCTAGGTGGCCCGAATTTTCATGGCTCGAATGGCTCAAATTGATAAGACAACAGCTCTAGCAGAACACAGCCACAGCAGAGTAGTAGCCATAGCAGCTCAGAGCGCCAGCAGAGCAGCAGCCATAGCAGCTCAGCAACCATAGCAGCTCAGCAGCTTCAAAGCAATAGCTCCAGCAATCACATGTGTATTATCAAGGCTAGGTAGTTAGTTTGTTAGAGTTCAACTATAGTTTAGTTAGACGGTTATGGTTAGGTTAAGTGTATCAGTCTTGTATATATACTACCTCCTCAGTATCATATAGACTCATTCAGTAAATTAATAAAAGAGATATTTCTTATTTTCTCTTTATAGTATCAGAGCTTTATGCTCTTGCGAGCTTTGGTCCTTCAGTGAAGTTCATCAATGGCTTCTCCAAACACCATAGCTGCAGCACCATCCTTTTCTCCTTCAGCACCATCTTCTTCAGCTTCTATGTCTTCGTCTATCACACTGCCTTCAAATCTCACATTATTAATCTCCAATCTTAGTGCCTTGGTCACTACAAAGCTTGACTCATCAAATTACATAGTTTGGAAAAGTTAGTTGCAGAACATCTTGCAAGCAACAAAGCTTCTTGGTTATGTGGATGGATCTGAGGTATGTCCTCTGTCGGTTGCGTTAGATTCAAACAATCTTGGAGTATTGAATTCAAATTACACTGTATGGAGCACCATTGATGCACACTTATTGAGCTGCATCACTGCAACTCTTTCTCCATCTATTTTCACCACTGTGATTCATTGTCAAACTAGTCAAGAAGTCTGGAGTGTTCTTGCCAAGAGATTTACTTCTCTTTCAAGATCTCACATCTATCAATTGAAGAATAAACTAAATCGAATTGTTAAGAAAGGTTCCACCATGGAAGAGTATTTGAATCAGTTCAAACTGATATCAGATCAGCTTGCCTTGGCTTCATCACCTGTTGATGATGAAGATTTAGTCCTCTTGATCTTGAATGGCCTACCTGAAGGATACAATGCTTTAAAAACCACCATACGAGCTAGGTTTGAACCTATCTCACAGGATCAACTAAGTGTTTTACTTTGTTCAGAATACATCTATCAATTGAAGAATAAACTAAATCGAATTGTTAAGAAAGGTTCCACCATGGAAGAGTATTTGAATCAGTTCAAACTGATATCAGATCAGCTTGCCTTGGCTTCATCACCTGTTGATGATGAAGATTTAGTCCTCTTGATCTTGAATGGCCTACCTGACGGATACAATGCTTTAAAAACCACCATACGAGCTAGGTCTGAACCTATCTCACTGGATCAACTAAGTGCTTTACTTTGTTCAGAATGTATTCATGTGGAATCTGCTCTCAAGCACACACATGCTTCAGAAATTCCAAGTTCTTTTGCCTACACTGCTCAAAGAAGTAACTTTTCTCATAGAGGAGGTCCTAGAGACTCACATAGGGGTAGAGGTGCTTTCAGAGGGAGAGATGGGGGTAGATTTCGCGGTCAGCATCGTCATAGTTAGTTTCAAAATCAGAGAGGAGGCAACACTCAATCTCAAAGAGGCAGAGCTACAACAGGCTACAATTCACACAGCTACAATACAAACAGTCCTAACTCAGGCTACAATACTCATAGCTATACTCCAAACAGTCCTACTGTGATCTGTCAAATTTGGGGAAAAGGAAATCACACTGCTCTAGAATGCTGGTACAAACTAGATGCAACTTTCCAGGCTCAATCTCATAATCATTATTCTAGTCCTTCATCCTCTACAAGTCATCCAAAAGCATATGTTGCAGCCAACACAGTTCCACAGTCTGTATCCAGTTGGTTCCTTGATTCTGGTGCTACAACTCAGATGACACATGATCTGAATAATCTCTCTTTTTATCAACTCACATGACACATGATCTGAACCACACTTCCAACTCCTTCCTTTCCTTTCCAACTTAATAAACTTCTTCATGTTCCTACTCTTTCCTCAAATTTACTTTCAGTTCATCAATTGGCCACGGACAATCATTATACTATTACTTTTGATGAGGATTCTTTTGTTATTCAGGACAAGAGTACTCAGAGAGTACTATATAGAGGTTGCTATTCCAATGGACTATATCCATTCAGTCCATCTCCTGATTCTGTTGCCTTCCCTTCTCAAGCTAGTCTTTCCTGCTCCACTACTCCAGCTAGTGCAGCAGCTCCTCCTAATTGGCATTTTCATCTTGGCCATCCTTCCACCAAGAAGTTTCATCACATCATGTCTCATCATCACTTGGGATTTTCTTCTTCAGTTCTGTCTAATAAAGACTCTAGTTTGTGTGAACATTGTTGTGTATCTAAGAGTCATAGGTTACCTTTTTGTTTGTCCAATTCTACTGTAAATAAGCCTTTAGCACTCATTCACACTGATGTTTGGGGCCATTTTCTTGCTCCATTTCAGGCTTTAAATAGTATGTGTTGTTCATTGATGATTATAGCAGGTTTACTTGGCTCTTTCCTCTTCATTATAAGAGTGGAGATTTTTCCAAATTTCTAGAGTTCAAAGCTTTTGTTGAGACACAATTCTCTACTAAACTTCAAGTTTTAAGGAGTGACAATGGGGGTGAATATCTAAGCACTCAATTTCAAGTTTTTCTTAAACAAAAAGGGATTGAACACCAGCTGACCTGTCCCCATACACCTTCTCAAAATGGTGTGGCTGAGAGAAAACATAGGCATCTCATTGAAACCAAAATTACTCTCATGCATCACTCTTCCCTTCCTTTAATCTACTGATTTGATGCTCTTGCCAATGCAGTGTTTTTGATTAACAGACATCCTACTCTCAAACTCAATAATCTTACCCCTTGTGAGGTTCTGTTTAACCAAAAACCTGACTACCAATTCTTAAGATCTTTTGGATGCAAGTGTTATCCTTGGCTCAAGCCTTATACTACTCATAAACTTCAACCTAGATCCATACCTTGTGTTTTCATTGGTTATCAACCTTCTATTAAAGGGTATAGGTGTCTTGATTCTCAATCAGGCAAAGTTTACATTTCTAGACATGTAATCTTTGATGAATCTTGTTTTCCTTTCAAGGCTTCTTCTTCTTCTTCTTTTACTTCATCTATAGTTTCTCAATTGGTTAATTTTTTTTGGTCAGCTTCCCCTGCTACTGCACCTCAGTCTTACTCTTCTTCTTCATCTTCTGTTTTACAACAACCACCTCAGTTACAGCAGCCAGTTTCATCTTTACAGCAACCAATTCCATCTTCAGCTCATGTTCCTCAGTCTTCTCCCTCACAGCAGCAGCCAGTTCCATCTTCAGTTGATGTTCCTCTTTTGTCTACTGATCCTTCTACTCAAATTCCTATCTCTTCAATTTCTATCAATCTTCACTGTGTTCCATCCACCGCTCATCCCATGCTTACTAGATCTAAATCCAGAAGCTTACTTCCTCTTCTACTTCTGTTTCTCTCCTTGCTTCCACTACTCCATTTGAACCTCAAACCTATTCTGAGGCTGCATCGTCTTCTGCTTGGCAGGCTGCTATGCTTGATGAATATGCAGCTCTTCAAAAGCAAGGTACTTGGACCTTAGTCTCTTTACCACCTGGCAAACAGGCAATTGGTTGCAAATGGGCTTATAGGTTGAAAAAGAATTCAGATGGAACCATAGCTAGACATAAAGCTAGACTAGTTGCCAAGGGCTTTCTTCAAATTGAGGGAGTGGACTATCATGAGACTTTTACTCCTGTGGCTAAACAACCAACTATCAAAATTCTTTTGTGCCTTGCTCTTCATTTTGATTGGCCAATCAAACAACTTCACATTTCTAATGCTTTTCTACATGGGATTCTTGATGAAGAGGTGTACATGGTCCAACCTCAGGGGTTTGTTCATGCTTCTCAATCTCATCTTGTTTGCAAATTGAACAAAGCTCTTTATGGCTTAAAACAAGCCCCTAGAGCTTGGTTCTCTACTTTCTCAACTTTTCTCCTCTCTCAAAATTTTGTTCCTAGTCAATGTGACTCATCTTTGTTTGTTCTCAAGACTCCTACTTCTATTACCATTCTACTCATATATGTGGATGATATCCTGCTCACTGGCAATGACCCTCTTTATATTGCTTCTTCGATTCAACAAATGCATGCCACTTTTTCTATGAAAGAACTAGGATTCATTAACTACTTTCTTGGTATTTCTGTCACTAAGACCTCTGCTGGATATGTTCTTTCTTGACAGAAGTATGCGTCAGAAATCCTAGCCAACGCAGGCATGAATGATTGCAGGTCTTACTGCTCTCCCATGGCTACTAAAGTTTCTACCCTTTCTTCTGATGCTGACTTACCCTTTAGTCAACCATCTCTTTATAGAAGTTTAGTAGGTGCTCTTCAATACCTCACTACCACTAGGCCAGATCTTACCTTTGTAGTTAACCATGCCTGCCAATTCATGCAAGCACCCTTGAATAGTCATTTTGCCTCTGTCAAGAGGTTGCTCAGATATCTTAAAGGCACATTGGGCCATGGTCTTCATTTCTCCAGTGGTCCTCTTATTCTTAATGCTTACTCTAACTCAGACTGGGCTGGAAATGTGCTTGATAGAAGGTCTACTACTGGATATTATGTTTACCTTGGTCCCAACTTAATTTCTTGGTCTGCCAAGAAGCAGCGAACTGTGTCTAGGTCTTCCTCAGAGGCTGAGTATAGAGCTTTAGCCCAGACCTCAGCTGAACTTAGTTGGCTTGGTATGTTGTTGGCAGAGCTTCACTGTCCAATGCTTGTTCCTACTCTTTGGTGTGACAACTTATCTGCTATTGCTATGTCTCACAATCATGTGTTTCATGCTCGAACAAAGCATATTGAAGTCGATTATCATTTTGTTCAAGAAAGAATTGCAGCCAAGAAGCTTCACGTTTGTCACATTCCTTCCAGCTCCAGCAGAACACAGCCACAGCAGCTTAGCAGCTCAGCGCAGCAGCCACAGCAGAGCAGCAGCCATAGCAGCTCAGCAAAGCAATAGCTCCAGCAATCACGTGTGTATTAAGTTAGACGGTTTTGGTTAGGTTAAGTGTATCAGTCTTGTATATATACTACCTCCTCTATATCATATAGATTCATTCAATAAATCAATAAAATAGATATTTTCTTGTTTCTCTTTACGAATGTCGCAAAACGATATCGTTTTTGGTGTAAAACGATATCGTTTTGATACATTCGAGCCATTCGGGCCAAACAAATTTGGGCCACCAAGCATTTTTCATATACATATATCTATAGAACATATTAACATCTAGTATTAGAACATCAATCAAAAGCCTGTTCCCACTCCCATATATCTAAAAAAATAAAAAATTTGAAGCAACAAAAACTCATAACAAGCCACCATAATGGTTTTAAAGATATTTCCAACTAGACAGCAACTTGTATTACTTTATAATATTGCTTAAACAAGTTAAACTGATAGGCATTTCACATAAAAATTGAAAACATTATAGAAAAACACAATCAAGAAAAAATAGAAAAAAAACCTGCCAAAATATTTTAAAAGTAGAAGTAAACAAAATTCAGGATTCGTCAAATTTCATCAGTTAGTTTTTTTTATTAAAGAACAAAATTTATTCCGACCAAAATTCATACATCTTCAACATACCCCAGCTGCTTTGTGTGAGACAATCAAAATGCCATTATAAGGCTTCTGAATATGACATTAAAATTATTTTTCTAGAAGAGAACAACAGAAATACCACAACACGAAGTCGAGGTCTTGATATGTCAGGCTGTTGTGGTAGAAGCTCAACAACATCTGGGGTGCAATGGGTGCCTTCAATGACTGTTCCCTCACTGATTGCTATTAGGTGCCGCTTATTGACCACACCATCTATAGTTGCAATGTATCTACAGTCACAATTTTATAATATTTTTAAAAAAAAGTTTAGCAGGATACAGAGAAGCACGATAGAAGCATTATATATGAAAATCAGGTCAATAATGAATATTAAATAATAAAAAAATGAAAGGAACCTTACTCCTTTGATAAATTAAAAGAAGGATGTGAAAGTTTTTGAGCAAACTCCCCTGAAAATGGATGGCAGCTAGATTTAGATGAATCCATTCTGACTTCCATAATTAATCCAATAATGATCAAAATCAAAATGATTCAATTTCAACCATTATTATGAAACACCAAACACAATAGTATAGGCACATATGCTCAGTCACAGCAGTACACATACCATCATTTGTTACAATAATTAAACCACTTGTGGCAACATCAAGGCGGCCAACAGTAAACAATCTTGGTTTAGGTTGTCCCCGATTCCTTTTATCCTGAAAAAGCCCATTTTTATATAATTATTGCAAAGCCAAAAATCCAGCAAGGATAAAAAAAGTAGGCAATGGTTCACCCAAAAAGAAAAAACTTATTGACGTTGCAATAATGTAATTTGTGCATACCCAACTCTTCAAATAATCATCAAAAAGAGATATCACTGATTTAGTCTCTTTCTCCCCAGAAGAGCATATGTACCTGCAATGATATAACCCCACAAGTACCAAATAATTCAAACTCAAACTAGGGGAGGGGGGAACACACAAAAAAACAAACAAACAAACAAACAAACAAACAAACAAACAAACAAACTCTGATGAGTCAAAGAGATGACGAACCCTTTTGGCTTGTTCAAGGCCAAATACACCTTTGGAGGCAATTTCTTAGGAAGGCGGTTTCCATTGACATAAATTATATCCCTGGCAGGATCAACTCTAGTCTGCCCATAATCAAAAGATACATTACAACATTAACAGTACTCTTGATCCGTGACTTTACAATTGTAATCTCAGGCCCTGTTTGATTAGCAGGACTCATAGTGAGAGGATTAAGAATCTATGGGATTAATATAGGATTGGTTATCTAGCTAAATTAATGAGATAAATAATTCTCACTTATTCATATTTGTTTTGCAATGGATATGGAAATATATAATCTCAATTATATGTTCGATATGTATTATTAGTTGTATGATTAAAAAATCCACCAATTTGTTAGATAGAATGTCCATCGAAATCCAATCCAATCCAATCCAAACCAAACCAAACCAAGCCTTAAGTCCCATCAAATGGGATCGACTACATGAATCCTTCTTCTCTTCGCGGCCCTATCTAAGGCCATTTTGTTAGTCAAATTAAGTAGATCTATATCTCTATTTACAACGCTAACCAACGTTAATCTAGGCCTACCCCGTCCCCTAACGCGTCCATCTACCGTTACAGCATCGCATCTCTTCACTACTGCCTCTGTTGGTCTCCATTGAATATGACCAAACCATCTCAATCGATTCTCTCTCAACTTATCTTTTATCGGTGCTACTCCTACCCATTCCCGAATACACTCATTCTTAATTTTGTCTTGTCTTGTCTTGTCTAGTCGTGCCACACATCCACCTTAACATTTTCATCTCAGCAACACTTATCTTACCTACATGTTTTTTCTTAGTTGCCCAACCCTCCGTTCCATATAACATCACTAGTCTAATAGTCGTTCTATAGAACTTACCTTTTAAGTCTAATAAGTATTCGTTTATCGCACACTACCCTAGACGCACTTCTTCACTTACACCATTCCGCCTAAATCCTATGGGCCACATCCGCATCAATCTCCCCCGCTGTTGTGATAATCGACCCCAAATAACGAAAATGTTCACTCTTAGACAATCTTGGTTCTCAATCTTCACTTCTCCTCTGCTTTCATTATTACTTTTACTAAATTTACACTCCATGAGATGTGAATAATATAAATTAATAATCACAATCCTATGTTATAATCCAACAATCAAACATGCCCTCATAGTATTATCTCTTAATAGATTTTCCAACAACATAAACTAAGGCAACATAGAATCAAATGCCACATAGCACAGAAACGAACCTGAGGAGTGTTGCACACAGAACCATTAACAGTCACCCGTCCTTGGAAAATAAGCTCTTCGCTGCTCCTTCTCGATGCCACTGACACGACAAGACAAGCCATGAGTCCATGACACTCGATACAGAAGGAAGTGGGTCAAAAGCTGAGAACTGGCTTTTAACCCACTTCCCAAAATAGGCCATAATAATTCAAAACCAATCACACACAAAACAAAAGTTTGGCATTTGCCACATTTCCAAATTACCCTTTTGCTTTTGAAAAAAAAAAAGACCCAATATGAAATAGCATCGAAATTGGTGATCAAAGAATCAAAATTCAAAATCATACCTCCGGAAGAAGCAAGAACCTTACTGAGGCGCTGAGGAGGATCTCTGAAATTCTGATTATAAAATCTCCTTGCTGCTTTGGAATGCTTGGGCTCAGATGTTGGGACAGCATTGATTGAGCTCTCTTTCTTCTTCTTCTTCTTCTTGGCGGACTGAGTCTTGGCATTGGCCATTTCGTGAAGAAGACGAGGCGGTGGGGTGGACTGGAGAGTGAGGTTGCCCTTCTCGTCGCGGACGATCCATGGGATGAAGAGTTGTTGACCTAGTTCGTCGGGAGAGATTGGGTCTGGGTTGGGTTTTGGGGTTTTGGGTTTGGGAGGGGCGAAGGTGATGTTGAATTGGGTTGTGGACGGCGAAGAGAGAGATGAGGTGAGGGTGCGGAGGTGGGAGCGAGTGCGGATGAGAGACGAGGGTCGAGAGAGGTGGAGGGAGTTCAGGGCCGACGACGCGGCGGCGACTGCGGCGGCTATCGCCGCCATCTCTGGTGGCGGTGTGGTGGCGGGTTTCGGATTGGTTGCTGTGATTCTTTTGGTGTGGCTTTGGAGATGAAGATGAGTGGGGGTTCATATTTGATTTTTAATTGGTTTTGGTGTGATTTTTAGAAATGAAATGAAAAATTATAAAAGGAAATTAAAAAATAAAATAAAGTTTGAGTGTTGTAATAAAATAAAATTTTAATTTTATTAATTTGAATTATAAATTTTTTTATTTTTTTAATTTAAAATATTTTTTATTTTTATTAAGTAAAATTGATAAATTTTTTGATATTTTAGTCATTAAACTCAATAAAAATGTTATTTTAACTATTTTATGTATACTTAAATTGAGTTTATAGACAAAAATATTTTTTCCCGTCACCTTTTCTCAATGAAAACAAATCAAAATGTTACGATTTAAACTGATAAAAATAAAAATTATGAGTTTATTTTGTTATAAGTTTCAAATCTTACGGTTTATTTTTATTTATTTATAATTGTTGGAAAGTCTAAATTCAAATTTGTTTGGTCAAACCGTCCATGTTAGACTGGAAAAATTTATTTCTAAACACTCATTTACACTTAATGAAATATTATTTTAATGACAATTATATCTTAAAGCAAAATGACTATAATAGATATTAAAATACACCCTTAATATTATATTTAAATCTTCTCCATACACATTTTTTTTTTCAAAAAAAAAAGTTCAGTGTACATCTTCTGAGTGAAAAAAAAAACAAAAAAAAAAACCCCTAATTTATTCATTGTTTCTCACTTCTTCCATGGTTTCTAGATGGCCTTAACAATATCTACAGTGGGTTGGCTTTAACCAGTTGAAGTAACAAAAGAGAGACTCCTAATTTCATTTTGATAGAGGAGTGTTTTGAAAAGTTGGTAAAAATTTAATTTTTTTAGTTTTTTTAGCTTATTTTGTCTTTTTATGGGTAAGTTATGTAAGAGGTGATGTAATTCAAAATGAGTAAAAAGTTGAAAATTGACTTTTTACCAGCTTCCCAAAAGACTCCAGAGCCTAGATACGTTTTCAAGTTTTGAGATCGTTAAATCACCATTCAAACTATTATTGATCAGTTATATTGATTTAAAGAGAAAATAATGTTGGAGAACATTTTGATCATCATTCAAGGAAAGTGCACCTGAAAATTTCAAAAAAAAAAAAAACAATGAGTTTCTTACCAACCTGACACTGCAAGGCAAGGAAATGATTGGCACACTGCAATCATACAAAATTCGGGACTTAACTTTTGAATTAAACAATGAAATTCGGAAACCAAGTTCTAAAAATATGTGAATATTTCGGAAGTTAATAGTCAAATTATTGCTTTTTATTCAATAAATTAGTGCCAAATGCACGAAATCATAAACATTCGAAGAAAAAAACGAGGGTCTTCAATGGAGTGCAAATAGAATGGATTGCAAATAGATAACGCATAAAAGATTTTGAAATGGATAGAAGATATACTCACCTTCAAGAATGTAATGGAGAATCTTCAATGGAGTTGTCAAAATGTAGGGTCTTCAATGGAGATGTCAATGGGTCTTCAATAAAGTTATCAATGAATCTTCATTGCTTCTTCAATGGAGCTTCTAAGACCTAATTATTTGGAGCCACCAAAGGAGGCTTGATCATTCTGTCCTTGCCTACAAAGGCCTTCCCTTGGGTTGGTATCATTTTAGGATTGTTTTGCATGACAAACTAGTCTGGTACTCCCGGTACCCATGAACCCACTATGCTAGTCGTTGGGCCTGTTGTTTTTATCTTCGAAGGCCAATCATTTGCCTTGGTTCCCTGTCTCGAGCCAAGTTCAGGCTTACTTACAGGCTTGTTGACCATCCTGTAGTAGTTTGGTGGCCTGGTTTCATACAAAGGTCTCTTACCCCTTGATAGATTCCTAGCGTTTGGTGGCCCGACCAAAGATGGCTACTGGCTAGGACCACTTGGGTATGCCCTCTTATTATAGGTACTGACTGGTCTATGATCTTTCTGCACGTCTTTGTAGTACTGCTTCCCATTAACTGGAAGCCTTTTAAGCCATTTGTAACTCAGCCTGCACCTGGGACACATGCGCTGCATAACAGCTGCTTCGAGCGAGTCATCATCTAAAGTTTCTTCATTGGAATCATCCTCTTGGCCCACGAAGCTTTGCCCACTTGCTGGTAAACCCTGTGTGTTCTTCTTAAAGGCAGTTTAGCTGACAACATGAACCTACACGTTGACCTCATTCAATTCCTTCAAGGAGAGGCTCTTCTCCACTTGATATATCAAAAGAATATTTTTCGTGAAGGTATTTCTTTTTAAACTGCTGATCAATGGTAGTATTCTTTTGAATTAATACTTCACAGATCATAGGCTCTTTTCCTATGATCTCCGCTGCATCAATTTCAAAATTAGGGTCCCTATAATAGGTCCTATAGGATGCATTATTTCGATCTTGTTCTTCCTCAAGTAAAGTTTCATAACTGGTGACCTTATACGTTAATTCTACTAGATCTCGAAACTCTATAGAGTCAAACTTCTTTTGAAGCTTAAACTCTATCCTATTATTGGCTAACCTCACAAATTCAGGTTCAAGTAATATGACCTTATATTTGTTTCTTGCTCTTTTGAATTTGACTGTAACAACCACCTCCTCAATTAATTGCTACGTATGTGATCTGCCTTGATTATGTGTTTTTATGTTAATTATGTGCCTTGTGTTATTTGTCTTGTGATAATGTGAATAGATGTATACAAAATAGGAAATAAACCTGTTTGAATCAGTAAACCATAAGTTTAAAATTAAATGTGTGGAATAGGAAATTGGAGCCTGATTCATAATAGTATGAATAAATTTAGTGTAATTTGAAGTGGATTGTGATGAGAATTGAGTTAAGTAAGTGAAATTGATTTAAATCAATATTAAGCCTAATTTATAATTTCTTATACTCATCATATTAGAGGGGTTGAGTGGGTTTTGGGTGAGACAAAAATTGAAAGAGTTCTAGAGACGAGAGAGAGAGAAAGAGAACCCTAGGGAACTCAAGAGGAAGAAGAAGGAAAAGTGAAAGAAAGGAAATTAAGCAAATCTTCACCAAATTAACCATCTAAGGTAAGAATCCTTCTCTAATTTCATGAATCTAAGTTGTATTACCCATGAAATCATAGAATCTTGGTTAAATTAAGAAGTTTAGTGGTGAAAGTTGAGGTTGAGAACCCTAAAGAGAAGAATTGTAGAAAATAGCTCAAGATGTTGATTTACATGGCATTCATCATGTTCACACACTTGTTTCTTGCATGAGCTTTGGGATTTGAGGAGGAAATCTCCATGGATTTTGATTTTGGAACTCATCACATGCATAGTTCTTAATTTTATTCTTCAATTCTTAAGTTTGATTTTCATGAACTTGAAGTTGATTTTTGCAAAAGATTGAGTTTCCATTCAAACAGATTTTCGAACTGGAAATGCACCCAGGCCACTTGAGCGGCCAACCTTCATTTGTTCAAAGTTGCATTATGCTTAACCACCGCTCGTGTGGCCAACCAGGCAGATTTTTCGGTTTTGTTTTCTTTTAGTTTTTCTGACTTCCGAGCCTTCATGTACATGGTTTTTACGTGTAATACACATCCATATGTATAGCATGAACACAAAGGAAATTAAAGAATTAATAGAAATAATTTAACGAATAAATAACGGATGAAACGAATTAGTTTAAGAACCGATTGAATAAATTGAATGTGTTATGAAATGTTATGCTCGGATATGTTTCTGCAGGTTGAGCTGTTGAGTTGTATCACCGACCAAGCACTGTGAGTAACATTACTGTAAAGAAATGTTCATATGAAATATATTTGAAATGTTGTTGGATATATTATGTTTTCTGAAATGTTATTTTGTTAAAGTGAACGAATATTTGGTTTTGAATCTGCTGTGGCATCAAAGGAATGATCCCAAGTCATGGAGGACAACATGTTAATGGGGGTCCATGACAAATAAGTGATTACGAGATCTTTCGTTAACCACTTCATTATGGTGATATGTGTTTAATCGATATCCGGAACCGATTACTCTAGTCGAAATCGATCACTCTAGTCAGAAGACGATATGTGATATGTTCTGTTGGATGTACTACTATTATGTTCTAGTATGAGACTGATATGATAGATTTGTTATGGTCGGTTTTCTGTATATGATATGGTTCAGAATTCGTTCATTAACCTCTTTACTTTAATGTTATTCACTGAAATTTCGCTCACTGTTTGTTTATATATATGAATGGGTGAGCGTCTTAGAGGTCAAGCCTAGATGAGTACCGTCAGTCAAGCTACTCGGTGCCTCCGAGTTGAGGCTAGGTCTAGAGGACCGTTGACTAGTTTTGTGCTCTTGTTGTGGGAATTTTGATAACATGTATATGATAATGGAAGGTTTTGTGCATGATATTACGTATGTATTGTATAGTGGGTAAATTAATGTTATATGCATCTGAGTTTGTCCATATAGATTCTCAGCTTAATGGACTATTTGTTGAATTTATGCTATAAGGTTCTGCTAGCCCCGATTATTTTGATTTGTACAGGAAGACCTTTGGTAATCTCAGATTACTGGCTAGTTACAACACTAAACCTTTAGGGGCGGGTTTAGGTCGTGACACCTACCTTAACCAACACCATCTTTACTCAGATCTAGCCGAGAGAAAAAGATCAAACTCAATCTAGACCTCCGGCACCGTTGTCGTCAACTCTGGTCTCCTTTTAGGTCAACTATATATGGTTCCGTCGTCAACTCTAGTTCTGTCATCGACTCTGGTCTTCGTTCGGCTATTGGTGGTGGTGGTGATGATGATTATAATAGTAGTGATAAGAGTTGAAGAAGATGATGATGATGATGATGAATCAGTGCTCTCCGAATTTCTCTCTCTCTCTCTCTCTCTCTCTCTCTATCTATCTCTTCATTTCTCTATGATGAATCTGTGCTCTCTATTTCTCTATGTATGTATATGTGCTGTAAGTATTGTTATTTGTAGAGCATCATCATAGTTCATCATCATTTTTTTTTTTTTAGTTCTTGTTCAATGGTGTTTTTGTAGTTATTAGGTGTTTCATCGT